GGAGATTGTTGGAGTTAAGACCCAAATTAGGAAAAAAATGATTTCCTTATTTTCACGTGGAAAATATTGTTTCCTTATTTTAATGTGATTTTATTGGAAATATATCATTTCATTATTTTTATTTTTATGATATGATATGTACATATAAACAATGGCCTCTTTTTTCAGTTTAGTTAAGCCTAAATTGCTATATTGTAATTTTCTCTCCATATCATCGTTATAATAGAATATCGTTTCCTCTACTTAATTCTCTTTGATTTCTTTACTTTAAATCTTGTTTTATCTATGTGATCTTGTTACATATTTCATACAACGTCATTAATTTTAATCATTGCGTCGCCTTTCGGATCAACAATATTGACTAACATGTTATAATTATGAACAAAATATTGGCATAAGCATTATAAATTGCATAAATTAATTTAAAACATAATTAACTTATGCAAACTAAATATGAGTATAATTTTAATTTTTAATAATTTAAATTTAATTCATCGTAAAATTGCACATATTATTCTAAACATAAATAATTAATATATGTAAAAAATTTAGGACACATAAGTATAAAATAAATGCCCAAAAATTAAGGGAAAAAGTCAAAAATACCTTATATATTCATAAAAATCACTTTTTACTACTTGATTAAAATAAAAACTAGAATTACTACATTACTGAAAGAGAAAACCATAATTACTGTAACCAAAACCTTCCATATATTCACCCGTAACTGAAAAAGAGAATGCATAATAGAAATGGATGGATTTTATTGAGATTGCTGAATACATGGAATTTCAAATTCAAATCATGAAATAGATGATGCTAACCGATTATTCATCTCCATTTCAATCCCTATTTCAAAAAATCATGAGGAAATTATCGTCTACTGTAAAATAAAAATAATCCGTAAGCTTCTTCATCTTCAACAGGGGACTGGCTAGAATTTCTTCAGTTCATAACTTCGGCTAGGTAATTATGTACAGGGAAGATGCAACAAAATACAGGATTCCCATCTTCACCACGTCAGCATCTGCTGTGTCCTGTGGCAGTCTCAAGAAAACTCTTACAACATCTTTCCGGACTACACTCTTAACTTGCTGAAAAACTTAGGCTGCGTTGGTTTCTATTTTCATTTTCAAAACGATTTTTACTTTTCGCCAAAAACGGCCCGTTTTTCGTTTTTTTGAGTGTTTTCGACATTTATAACTGAAAATGCTGAAAACGCTAAAAGGTCGTTTTGCGTTTTTAGTTATAAATTTTAACTCATTTTCGAAAATGCGTTTTCGAAAACGACGGACCAAATGCGTTTTCCGCATTTTCGAAAATGGAAAATGGGCCGAAAACAGCAAATCAACCACGACCTTATATTTCAGTCAACATGTTCTCCCATCTTCCATTTGTTTGTGTTATCTTCTACATGCATTTCAGACTAGGCAAAATTTCTCAATCCAAAACTTTATAAATCTGCCTGAAAATATTGAACCACATTTCCTCATTTGTTGACTGTTTAACCTCCAATATCAGTATCATGTGGATGAGCTGATGTTGTAAACAAATATTCGAAGAATGATGGCCTAAACAACTCCAGTTGCTCATTAACCTTGCCATTATAAGTGGTTATGAGGTCATATTTGTAGCGTATGTTTGATGCTTCCCCCAAATACCTATTAGCATGGATGACGTAAAATTTCAATTCCTATTGATAAATCCTGTCCATAGCACCAGATTACCATATAACACAATATAAAAGGAAATTTCATATTCTCACGATTTTATTCAATACATATGTATGTTTGGAATAAAGAAAAAAAAGAACGTAATGTAATGAAATGTAACTTAACAACGATGTTTTGTATTTTGGTATCCGATGATGTGTGTGGAGTTTTAGTTATTAAAGGAAATGAATACTACATATGATTGTACATTTCTGGAAAGTTATATGATTAACAATGTCATTCCTCTTCTAATGTACCTCACAATTCTATTATAAATATACATACATAAAAAGTTATAGCCTGGAATTGGGTGCCTATGAAATGTAACATATGTAAATGACGTTGCATGACTAGGTAAAGTTTGACCTTTTTTATGCAGTAAGGAGTAGTCAATAATGTTTTATATTATATGATTAGTAGTGTCGTTCCCTTCTAATGTACCTCACAATTCTATGATAAATATACATACATACATATATAAAAAGTTAACAGTTAGGAATTGCGTGCATACGAAATGTAACATACCTAAACGACGTTGCACGATTAGCTAAAGTTTGACCTTTTTTATGCAATAAGGACTAGACATGTAGGTTTTATACTATACCACACGTTACATGGAGTGAATAATAACTTTGAGTTGCATTGCACTATCATCTGAAATGGATATAGTCATGATATGCATACAAATGCAAAAGCTAAAAATCAGGCAGATAAACTTTTGTGAGGTTTCCTAAAGAACTCTAGTTGTTTAGCTAAGCGAGATGACAGCAACTTTTCACTTGTATTCAGGTACTATGCACACTAGCTCTCATATTTATCATGTTATATGATACAATGTTCATGGAAAAAATAAAAGAGTGATATGTTTTGCCAAAAGCAAACAGCATCACATGAAGTAAAACTAAAAAAATTTGATTCAACAGGATAAATAATTATTTTTATTTTGTCGAAAAACATACTTCAATACATGTTTGACAAAAATAAAAATAAAAATACAGAACATGATGTCTATTACCTGGGTTGATGTTTCTGAACCAACTTCTTCTTCTTAGAACTAAAGTTGAAAACAATGATTTCTATATTCCTCTTAGCCCCATTGGTATTTTGGGTAGTCTTTATATCTGCTACTCTGGCCTACGAACAACGTGAAGTCGCGCTACCAATTACCATTACTCTGTAATGAATGAAGATTTCTTGGAATCAATTCTTGATTTTTTTTTCTTGATCTCTGTTGCAATGGAGATGGTGAAGGTTGGGAAATTTTGGACTTGATTTGGGATGGGGTCCCAGGGTTCATGGTTCACATATATGTAGTGATTGATATGTTATGTTCGATAGAGTGATTGTAGCTTTCTTTGATTAGTGATAGGAATGATTATATTTATTGATTACCATTTTTACTATAGATATTGTAGTAATTTTGGAATTAAAAATGTTGAAGTGTAAAATTTTAATTTTTATTGTAGGGATGGGAGTAATTTCCACGAGAATTAAACTAAATAAAATTGGCCCAATAAATTAATGCATGTACCGAACAATTCATTGGCCCAATAAACATGTATGTGCCCAACAAATAATGTGGTAATTACATAATTCCAATTGTTTCAAATTCACGTTACAAAAATCTGGTAAGAAGTATTTTTAATCAAAATTCAGTTATTATGTATTTAAATATAATAGCCACCCTACACCCAAATGGCTAAACCCTAGCTATAATTTTGCCTCTCTCTTCTCTTTACATTTCTCGTTCTCTCCTCTTTTGTGGATGCCGGCGGCCCAAGCTCCAACAATGGTGACTAATGAGATGCGCCACGACGACGCTGAGCTGCTGCGAACGGCGATTCCAACGACGACGTTGAGCTGATTCCAACATTCCACCCTTGGAAGAGAATCTCCGACACAGCAGTGTTACTGTCGAACTTGAATCGCGTGCGCACCGCCGTTCGATTGTTCTCTGGCTTGCTCGGGTGGAAGTGCAACAACTGCTCCTTGCGGCGACGACACTATCCGATTTAAGGAACACCGTCTGCAACCGCACACAAGAACGACAATGCTAGCTCGTGGGAGAGCGTTGTACGGTGCAGATAGTGAATGTATGAGATTGTCCTAGTTCTTCCTTCCAATATGTTTGGTTCTTCCCTCCGGTATGGGATTTCAATGATTGATCTACCAGTACTGAAGGGAAGCTTATGTGATTGGAGAACAAATCAATTTGGGACTTGATTTGCACTGTGGTGGTGGCGATAGCGAGTTTGTGGATTCTTTGGTAGGGGTGGTGGTTGGGTGTGGTATGAATGGAGATAGAGGAGATGGTGGTGGTGGTAGTGTGTTATGGGTGGTGTGGTGTGCGGTGGTGGTGTGTTGTGGGCGTGCTGGTGTGGTGGTGGTATAGGTATGGTGGTGCTCATGTAGATGAGGTAATGGTGGCTCTGAAGGCGGTGGTAACCAATTATTGTTGCGTTGTTGATGATGATGGTGGTGGTTGTTGCGGTGGCAATGATGAATGGGATGTCTGTGACCAACATTTAGGCATCTGGGACAATTTTGCTGATTTGCGACTAACAAATTATGACCATGTGATCCATAGATAAAATGTGACCTGTAATTTGATTTTTCCCACAAATAATTTCAGTAAAATTGGGCCAATTTGCATATCATTATAAATGGGCCAATAAGCAAACATATCAGTTTTAAATGGCCCAACAATGAAGCGTGCTTCTAATATCCAACAGGATAGAAGAAAACACGTGTTTTGAAAATAATACAGAGTCGTCGTCGTCTTCCTCAAGCAACTGAATTGCAACCCATTTCAGACCCGCCTCAAATTCTACTTCCCAACGTGAAATCTCAATATTAAAATCATACAGAAGCTAAAAAACATGATTTTATGGAGAAATTTGAATTTTATTTCCAAAAATAATTTCGACGGCTGATTTGGTTAGATTGCTTGTAATGAAGGATGGGTACTCTGATACCAAATGTTAGATTGAAAATCGATCCACAATAATTGTGAAAACAAATTGGCAAGAAAAATCAAAATCTCAAGGATGGAGTTCATACTCTCAACCATTGATGTTGTTCTAGAAACACTACTTTTGTTTCAGGTAATGACACTTTTAAGCTCTCAACAATGATGTAGCCAAACTCCCATCAAATTTGGATTACTGTTACCTTTCCAATCAATGGTGGAATGAAACCCATGAATGCTGTACGTAAATGTTGAAAACTATAACCATGAATGTGGACCATCAATTGCCTGTTAAAGAAATCGATTACATATAGAAACACAAAAGACAATTTCACGGTGACAGTATGCCCCTTTCGTTTTTCCTGGGTATTTAGACAAATACATATAGGGTGATTAATACATGGCAGAAACATGAATGAAGATACAAACTTAAATATTAGTAGATGCTATGAATACCCAAATATATAGAATCAATAATTCGTTGATTCATATTAGCTATGGTTCTTGGTATTCCAAGTCCTAAAAAATACAGAAATTGCGAAGTTTCTATTCTCAGCTAAGTTCCATTTTACCTATTCACTGTAATTAGTATTTGAAATACATGCCTGCTGTCTATCCAGCAAACCTACAGCAACAGGCTCGAGACTACAACCTACGGCCTCGAAGTTAAATTCTTGAAACATTTATCCTGTACCTTCGTCTCCATCTCGCTGGGCAAGTCTGCATGTACAGAAGTTAAACTTATTGAGCCAGCAATGGTTCTTGGTCTCCCAATTTATCCTTCATGCGAGCTGTTCCCTTCTGTGACTCAGCTGTCTCCGAACCTTCCAAGTTTCGTCTTTGAATAATGTCATGGTATGTAGGATGAAACTGAATTTGAAAAGCCCTGTACATGAAATTCGGTAATAAAGTGGAAACAACAATAAGAAGTGTTGCCAACCAATAGAAGGGACTTGGAGCACAGGCTTCCACAAGAACCTGGTAGGCGGTTGTTGATATTATAGGCGACATAGCGCCGTAGACCAGTAAAAATACATAAGAAAAGGCGATGCTACCCCAGATGACGAAATGATGGATCCAAGTGAAGTAGTTAACAAACAGTGCCATTTGACAGTTCACGGTCCAGATGACACAAGTATACATCATAACTCCAAGTACCTCAAAATCAATAACATGGCCATCTCTACGGAAAGCCTGATGTAGGACAGAGTTGGTGGTGAAGAAGAAGATGAATATCGAACTAATAACACCATTTAACATCCAGCCAAGAATATGCATCCAACTGAAGAGCATGCCATGCACTCCCTCTTGGTATAACAAAGGATACTGTCAAATGCATGCGAAAACATCATATCCTCATTAGTTTGTATAAATCACAGAGATTAGAGAATCCCAATAGGAAATAGAATGGGACCAAAATTGGAAAGTATCAAGGAAGATGAAGAAACTAAAATCTTGTCTACTTTACTAGATTTTCTAGTACTACATACTAAACATGCACTTCGTGAAATTTTTTTGTTCTTTCAATATTTCACTCTTATAATTTTAGGAAGTTATGCAGAATGTAATGCTGCCCTTTAAGCACTGTGTTTACCTGAAGGCAAAGCCGAGCAGGGATATCCTGATCAAAAACTCCAAGAGCAATCACAGGAAGGGAAGTGAAGAATACATTGTAGAGTGACATGTACCAATCGTTATAAGCAGGTTGGCCAGAGAAGGAAGCATATGCCTCAAACCAGAATAGAGTGAACCCAAAAGCAATGTTCTTGTAGAAGAAGTAGAATATCTGCTTTCATTCGGCAAGAAAAAGATGTGTTAATAAGAAGAGTGTCAATAAATCAACTATTAACTGCCGTTAGTCATATTTCCTTTAGCATGACAGACCGCTTATTTAAAGACACAGGATGTTGTAGAGGGACTGGAACTAGAATTGTACTTCTTTTATTAAAAAATAAGAACACAAATAAGACATTGACAACACATTAAAATCTAAAGAGTAATGCTTTCCTCAGAATATAGACGATGAATGAGATAAAAGTCCTTTATAATGCGTAGAGAGGAGAAATTCACCATCATAGATATTCGCCTATAACACCAGTGACCATGAACCAACAGCAGACGTTCGAGAAACCGGAACTGCGCTATGGCAATATCAGCAGACATCACAGCCTAACTCAAAATAAAATCGATAGATATCAGAAGTTATCCATATCAATAGTTAATGGGGGAAATAATCAGAAGTACGATAGAATGAGATAAATAAGGGAGACAGGAGTGACGTGACATCAGTATCCTAGACAACCATGAAATAAGCAGAAGCCACAAGTACTTTAATATATACAAATACATTCTGAATACGTGTAGAGAGTTAAACAGAATCTATAAACAAAACTAAGCAATTGGTTTCGGAAACTTCCCAATTTTTTAGAGTTATTAAATCTTTCCTTTCTACATCTTATATAATCATTACTTGGCATTTTGTTTCCTCCTTCATTTTAGACATCCAATTCCATTTTATTTTTACTTCCTCCTCCATCACAAACAAGAAATTTTTTTCTGCTGGCAAATTATTGACATCTAATACTAGAAACATGAAGTATTTGCTGAAGAAAGAATGCATGCAAGTTGAAAGTTCGACACTATCATCCTAAGTGAAAAGAATGAAAAGAGAAACTGCACATCTAAACTAACAGGTCCCACATGCAATGCTTGCCCTTCCAATGAAACCTGACTGGTACAGTGAATTAGACATAGCAGGATAAGATCTTAAAAATTTAACCACAAATTGGCAAATTTAGACATTTTCTAAACCTTCAACCAAGAAAAAAATAAAAAAAAAAAAAAAAAAAAAAAAAAAAGGAAAAAAAAAAAAAAAAAAAAAAAAAAAAAAAAAAAAAAAAAAAAGGAAAAAGGAAATCCTCAAACAAGGGAAAGGTAAGGAACAAAATAAGGATGAAATTTAAATGGAAAAGACCTGCATGCCTTCTACGCCACTGATGCCAACCCCAATATCAGCCTCTTGAAGCATGCCTACATCATTTGCCCCATCCCCAATTGCTAATGTTGTCTTGCCTGTTCCCATTTTCACCAATCTCGTAACCTGCATATCTTCAACGGTTTTATTAGGTTGTTTTATTGCCAGCAAATCTAAAATGGAACAAGTTCAAAAGTGGGAAGCTCTAAAACGTAAAAATTAGCATGAGCATACAACTTACAAGAGCTTTCTGTTTAGGTGTGGAGCGGCAGCATATCACAGATGCACAATTAATCACAAGCTCAAAAAATGCATGCTCCAGATTTTTGTCGAGAATGAAAGATAATGACTTTCCATCGATTATCAAACCAAAAGAACCGGGACATTC